CCAATTGTAGACTTGTCTTGGATTCCCCTTGTTAGGGGAGATCCATTGAATTTTTTATTTCGTTATAGTGTAACATTATCAGATTACTATTTCAAAATAATAAATAGTTCTTTCAGAAGCTATGGACTCCTAAATGTATATGGAAAGTAGTTTATTCAGCCAATAGGGTTGTGGTGATTTATAGGAACATTAAAGCACACTGAATGCTCAACTTTACATATATTATCTATTTGCTCTTCACAAAACCCTGCAAAATCAACAAGGTCATTATTAGGGTCATTTCTACTCTCCAGTTTAGAAGAAACAAAACTTTCTGCCCAAGGTCACACAAGAAAAGTATCATTTCTAGGTATCAAGCCCTCCATTTACTCTAAGTCCAGTGTTCTGTCAACACAGACCACATCTAACCTCAGTATCATTTGCACAAAAAGCCATGCTGCCTTAGGTACCCAGGGGAAGGCATCCCTTAGTGACTTAGAGTTGAAAGACAAGTGGACCAATACACCAGAAAAGGTGGAAACCTCCCTCCCTTCTGTTGAGGAAGGGCAGTCTCTAGGAAAACAAATGCAGAATAATAGTGGGACTTGGATGAAAGCACAATCCAGACACTGACCTGGAGTCACCCACCTGGTTTCCTCCTAGCCCAGCTCCTGGGTGTCCATGAGGACAGAAGAAGGGAAGAAAATTGAGAAATGTTTTTGGTTTGTAATAAGTACTTAAGCTATAGCTCCAGGAATAAATTTCATACAGCTACTGATATTTATAACAAGTATTCTACTTTGGGAACTAATCAGGATTGTGATTATAGCCAGAAAATTTGATAGAAAAGTAAATGAACTAGTACATTATTTGCATATCAATAGAAATAGGAATTATAGATTTATAGTGATTAAAATATTTGGGCACTTCAGGTTTTAATTTATTTAAACATCATTTTGGACATCATCTTAAATCAAGATATTCATACATTAGAACAGACCAGGCTGTGTGTGACAGCAAGAGACAAACTATAAATATGATGTAGAGACATTAGTAAGTGCTGAATTTCTTTAAAAATTTAAAAACTTCCTCTGGTACCTGATTCTTTTCATAGTGTTCTGTTTTTAATTTTTCTACTTTATGTACATGTCAATTATATCTTTTGACTGATGTATTAATTAATTAGGTAGATTTTTTTAAAGGAAACTTCCTGTTGAAAGCAAACATGTTCCTTAGAGATTTCCTATTTAGCTGCTATCAAGAAAAATTTGATTTTTCCAACTTATCATTTGCATTTTCGTGGCTAAGATCCTAGCTTAGTTTGAGAAAGAACAGCTCTTGTTGACAGTGACTGACCAACTTTAGGCCCAGTCTTCATGACTCTTCTCAGTTTTGTTTGGACAGCTTTCCAAGACAAGTAGGTCACAGTTCATCACAGGTAGCCAAGTGCTCAGAATTACTAGCTTGCAGTATCTTAGGAGTCTATCTAATCAGATTAGAAACCACAAAAGGAATTAGCTAAGAAGATTTAAATTAGGCCTGTCAGTGAATTGGTTTGAATTTTTCTAAACAGTAGTCTATGTCTCTGTCTTTCATTACTTTTCACATATTGAGACACAAAACCCAACTCTCCCAATTTAAATGAGAACAGTGATTCAAGGACAAGATGAAAGCCCCTGACTGGGTACCCAGTAAGACTTGCAAATACTGTTCAGATACCTAGAGTCTGACAAAAAACAGTGAGAGTAATGACAACAGGAAAGGAGACCATCCAGAGATGACAGTGGTAAGAGTTCCAGAGACAGGACAGCAACTGATGTGAGGAGAAGACACCAACTCAAGGGCAGGAACTTTTATCCACAAGCTCAGTAGACACAGTGTGTGGTGTACCCAAGTTTTTTAAGGCCCATGAAAGGGTTCTTACTATAATATTGTTTAAAACCAGAATACTCAAAAGGACTGTTTAATAATAAAGTAAAACAATAAATGTTGTTTAGCTCAGTTTTGTGTTTATAACAATGCAATTATAAAATAAGATTTAAAAAATTTTTTTATAATGGAATAGGCCCATGAAAGTTATAGTATCACTTTGCACCCGTAAATCAGGCCAAGGAAAGTACATATGCAAAGGGTGGCTCTGGAATCTGAACAGCCTTTATGAAGGGGGGCTTATGGTCCAAAACTATGGAGATTTTTTCTCCTTTACTTCCTCCCAAGGCCCTGCCCATCCACAGTCTGGAAGAGGAAACACAAAGTGCCAATTAACACAACACAGACTGGAGCCACAAGTCACTCTTCATTAATCTCAGAAGACTTCCTAGGAAAGGTGCTGCCAGAAGAAGTATGCAGCTGTGGTTTCAAAACAAAAAAAGTACCAACACTGGTAGGGAAAACTGAGAAAGAGAGAAATACACAGTGCCTAGGACATCCTCCTCTTAAATGTTCTGTGTGATTATTTTAGACAGGCTCCAGTTTAGTAGCTGCAGCTTGACTATTAATACAGAATCAGAAATCCCATTATTCCCACTTAGAAACAAATCATCAAACCAACAGGGAATACATTATGAGTTGTGAATTCTGCATACAAATCTCTTATTAAAAGAGAATTCTGTCCATGCTTCGTAATTACTCACTAAAACTGTGCTTCCTTCAAGATGTTTAGAAATGAGCTGTAGTGCGCCCCTATTTAGTTCTCATTTCACTCCTTTAAAACATGCAAAATGCCTTATTGACTGGGGAAGTGAGTGGGTTAAAACAGAACAGTATGATCTAAACCCTAATCTATGTTGGAGAAAATGTACAGAAGCGCTCAGCTGGGAAAGGTACGGAAGGGATCACCAGTATGCAGAGGGCCCTGGGAAGTGCCCTGACCTCTTCCCATGCTGAGGGTTTGAAGAGAGTGTGACACTTAACTGTGACATTTACATGCCCAAGTGAAAGAATGCTATCCTGGCTCCGCATGTAAACTAAGAACAGCATTGGATTCGTTTTTTGTGACCAGTTTCCTGCTGATGTTTAAACCAAGGGTGCAGAATTTCTAAGATGTATATTAAATTTAACATATGTAAAATATTAGTGTTTCATTTGTAATCTTACCATTATGGCATTTCATTAGCATTCAGAATTAGAGAGTTACTAAGATGCATAAATGTAAAATCTATAGAATAAAGTTTCTATATATGAAATACTTATTAGGTTTTCATAAAGATAATACAAAAGTTTTTTCTTTCTTTTAGAAATGTGCTCCTGGGAAAAATTATGGATAACTGACTCTTTCAAAAAAGGAGAAAGAAATATTTGCAGAAAATTGTTTGCTTAAAGTCTTGGGGTGCTGGGGGAGTCGCTCAGTAGAAAAACACTTCCCTAGGATGTAGGACATCCTGAGCTCAGTCCACAGCATCGTGGAGGAGGAGCGCTTATATTGTCTGAATAATTATTAATTAGCGTGAGTAACCACCAAGCATGGTTGCCACCTAAAATTTGATTGTGATCACAAACAAATCTACACTTACAACAGTCAGTATACAACAGGAAGGAGAGTCCACTAGCCAGATCGCAAGAGTATCTGCTCTAGAGAATGCAGCAGGCACCCCTGGAATGCAAGACTGGATCCCCCTTTTGCCTTAGCAAAAAAAAAAAGATTTTTTAAAAAAATGATTTTGAGTCGTTAGCCAAATCACATCATCGTTGAGCTTCAGCAGCTCAACTATCTATAGAACACAATCTCTACCCAGAGTTATTATGAAACCAAACAAGTAAAATTGCATCAGCCGCTTCGGTGTCCAGTACTTGCTAGCATCTCAAAACAGTTTAATTCCCTTTCCTGTGAGACAGGACTACAGCCAACACCTCCTCATCTAAAGACATCTGGTGGTTCCACAGCCTGGTGTCCAGCCGGAGAGATTCCTGTGACAGCCAATATTTTGTACTCTGAATTTTCCATTCCATAGCAACAGAAAAGAATTAGGCCAAAATTAGGCTGTCTTAATAAATGTTAATGTTATTTGCTATATTCCCTGCATTTCATTCATTTATGCCTGCTTGTATAATAGAAGTTAGGAAAAAGAATATTCTCAAGAATTATTCACTAGAAAGACTATTATTTATGTGTTTCATTGGTGAAGAAAGAAATGATAAAAGCAATCGAACATCAAAGAGTTTTCCACAAGCAAATCACCAAGAAAAATAAATTTCCCCTTATGCTGACAGTGTTTTCCAAACAGTCAAAAATATCTCAAGATTTTAAATAAGGAGTAGTTTAAACTGATTTTTCAAGCACTATTTGAAAATAAGTAAGTTGAAATAATCACTGCAGGATGTCACAACATTTCTAAAATTCAAAAGTTTCACTGTTTTTTATTCTTGCTAAGAATGATGTAGGAGCATATCAGTTTAATCTAAAGTATATAAAACACATGCATGAGTGTATTGTCAGTGTATATTTTCTTTTTATTGTCTTCATGTTGTTGTTTTTAATAGATCAGTGTTGACTGTTTGGTGGCTTTGTATTGAGGAAACTGGGTTTGAAGACTGCATAAGTGTGCACATGTCACTTTTAATGTTTTAAGCCACTGACTTCAAGAAGAAAAAATACCTGCATACTAAATGACTATCAGCCTTGCAGAACTGCTGATAAGCAAAGTTTAATAGTTTTAGGAATTGTTGAATCAATTATCAGTCACATTCTGAATTCTAAAAGCATTATCCCATAAGATAAATGGAGATGACAGGAATTAACAGCTTGATTTGACAATACCACCAATACCACGTGGAGGTGGAAATAGGATCTGGGGGAAATCTTGCTTTGATATATGAATGTGTAAACTTGACCTGGCAGGGTTTTAGACACTATCTCTAAAGCCATGGCCATGTCATTATGGCAAACCTGCCCTTTCTGTTCTCGGACTGTAAATCACAGTTGTAGATCAGTGAGGCTCGTGGGGTATTATCTCAAAAGCCAAAAGGCTGTAAAGAAAAAAGTTGTTAGCAGGCACTAACATGGGTGTCATGACTCTTTTCAGGTAGTAGGTGTTACCTTGAAGAAAAAGTGGCACTGTCTTCAAAAAAGTGACCTGACCCTGGCTTTGGTGGGTTTTCCTGCAAGAAATAAAAAGCACCGCATGTGTTTATTATACATCCTTTCTAGCTGACCACTGCTTTGTTCTAGAGTTCAGCATGAAAGGACTAATTTGTTTTTGTTTTTATTTTTTTTTAATAAAATGGCATGTCCGTTGCTAATTCTAGCTACTGTAGTTGCACATGTGAAAAATATGTCTATATAGTTTATGCATTGGTAGCATTTCAAATAAATGACATACTGAAAAATTGACCTGAAATTTTTTGAGATGTTATCAATTGACATTTTTTTTCTTAGCTCGAGTCTGAATTATTACTTTTTAAATTATATCTGGTAACATTAGATTTGTTCTTATAACTATAGTAGGAATTTAAATATAAGCATGCCACTTTGTTTATTACTATTTTATTAGAACTTCTCGGAGCATGGAAACACTTCTTCAGAAATGATTGGCTCTTTTGAAAGAACAAGCTGCAAAAATATTTGTTATAAACCATATTTAGACTATAAATGAGCATAGCTTATGAAGGTGTACTAAGTCTAAAGCATGTAATGTTTCAAACAAATAATTTTTATATTTGAAAACTGCTAAACAATTTAGTAGCATCACTATAAATCTTTTTCCAGAATTCAGAATTGTATGCACTTCCATTTCCAGAAGGTTACATTGCTTCATTAAAGAAGAAACCTGCAATTATGTACCCTGATTTGTTATGCAATGATTCGTTAAATTTCCCTTTATTCTTCCAGAAATCAGTTATTCTAGGATTGCAGACATATAATCTTTCCAGAACACATATAAAAATTACTGGTAATACATCTGCTGAATAAAATCTCTAGTATTTGATATTCCACCTTGAAAATAATACATTATCCTTCATTAAATGCTAGCTCCTAAATTAAAATGAACTTTCAGCATTGTAAACAGACATATGCTTTAAAAATCTATTAACTCTGCAAAGAAAAGTTTTTCATTGTTCTCATAAATAAAGTTGCTACTGGCTACATTTTTGAATGTCAATGCCTGAAAAAATGAACCCTGTTTCACTCCCTCGAGTGAACTTGCCTTCTAAATATTTAAAGCCTTTGGAAAGCCCAAATAATGATGTAATTCTATCCTTTTTCATTGCATAGAAGCTTACAAAGACTTATTAAGCTCTGGAATTAATATTGACCTTAGCTCTTAATTCCATTTTCAGGCATCAAGCCCCATGGATTCGTTTTTTTTATTCCCTTACCTATGATATCTCTCTATGCTACATTCGTGTTTTAAGTAGAATTATAACACATTCATCTATATGTGCTCTTAGAAGAAAAGGATTTCCTCTGGAGAGGATTTGCCAAAGACCTGAGAAAATACTTTTTGCTTGTTTGTTTTTTGAAATGTTTAAGATTTTTCTAGTTCAGCTGGAAAGGTAATATTTCAGTTTTTACATATGCTAGGTCTATTCTCAAATGTTTAATAATCTTATAGATTCAAAAGTCAGAAAACTATCATCCCCATTTACAATTCATGATTCTCCTTTGTTCAGAGTCAGAGAAACAGATAGATACAGGTAGATCAGTCCTTCAATATTAATCATCTTTTGCTTCTGAATTTACAGAGTTCCCTGACTAAAAGCCATTTCTAAATTCTATTAAAATCCCATGCTGTCAAAAACATCAAAAGTGGCAAAAATATTTTTTTCATTATGATCCTATTGTCTTCATAAATTAAGTTGGACAGATTCCTAAAATGTCAAACCCCTGGCAAATTCATAGAGATTTTGTAACATTTGTACGTGTTTTATGACCAGTCTACTAAAAAATGACAAGGATTCTAGAGACAACCCAACAAAACCTTCTGTGGGAGTCAGATTCTGATCCTAACTCCTGTCATTCAAAATATTTAGGGATTATACAATAATAATTTATAAATGCATAGACGAGGCAATAGCTATTGTTTTTAAATTGATACTATAAAAAAGTTTGTTATGCTGATTGCCTTAAAATACATACCTATAAAATACTATGTTAAAATTAAATATAATATATCAGTTATGAAGGTGAAAAAGTAGGTAAAAATTCACAAGTAATCTTTTTTCAGATTTTGTGTGTTTTCTCCTCAGCCAAAAGCCTCAAGACTCACTGGCAGCAGCAGCCTCTTCATTTATGTTGGATTGCTCTTTAAACGTTAGAGTATCTTGTAATAAAAAAAAGTTAAAGATTTCTCCTGACACAGTCATTGTTGATTTCACTGTTATAGGGAAAAGGCTCTAGGGCGGCAGATAAGGCTGTTGCCATGGTGATGAAGGAGATACCGAGGGAGGAGTCTGCTGAAGAAAAGCCCCTCCTTACTATGACATCACAGGTGGGCAGACCCATAGGGTTCCTGTAGGAAGCTGACATATGTCAATATATCAGACAATGTGGTCATTAACTAGAGAAAAAACAAAAACATTAACTCTGGAACTAATTTTTTTAAAAGACAGTTTCAATGAAACAACTGTACAAATACAAATGCAAAACAAAATTGCTTAAATGAATTTTAGTTATTTGTTCATGGATTTTAATTTTCATTACTCAACTTTAGTTTTAAAAATATACATGCAAATACTGTAAAATGTTGTTTCTATAAAAGGAGTCTCATTAACAAGTTTGGGAAACAAATAACAAACTAATTGTGCATTTGAATGGCAACCAAAAAAATCAAATTCCTGTGAAAAAACACAGTTATATTGTATACATATGTCAGTTTACCAGTAGAATATCTAAATTTTCTTAAATGTTAAATATTTATGTTGTGACTATGCATACTACATATTTGTCTATACATATTTATGTGGATAACTAATTTACAGGAATGAGCCAGAAGTCTCTGAGTCCCTGTGAAGAAAATGGCATTTGTAACCCTGCTTATACTTAGCAATCTTGACAATGACAACAACAACAACCAATCATCTCTATTATAAGTTCATGAGGGCCATTTTCAGGATTCATTACAATAAGCGCAGAAAAACCTGTTTGGATTTGTATGCAAAGACATGCTGAGACTGTGGATCCTGTATGTCCTCGGGGACTTTTGAAACACCCTGTAAAATCTGCATAAATATATATAATATACTCATCACCACTCTGTGGAACTATCAGTTTTAAACTCTTCAATGAGAAATATTTTTACTTGCATTTATCTTATAATTTAGATTAGAATGTTATTTTAAACATTTCATTTTTTCCATAATGCAATAATAAATGCAGTGATTCAGTTCCTATTATAGCACACGTCTCAAATTAGAAAAAATGTCCATTTACAGTCCTCATGAAAGGCATTTATATGAAATGCTAAATTATAGCGACTTATTTTTAGAATATCAGCAGATCTTGCTCCAGCTGCTGCCAACATGTGTGGATTTATTTTATTCTAAATACTATGTTGTAAGCAGTGAAAATTATAACACTAAAATTGAATAATTTTTAGGTTATTAAAGATTACCAGGACTTTGGGATAAATTTCATGTTGTCAGGGTTTTTTTTCTTTAAATCCATAAAAAGAGATGCTTCTTCTCAGTGACACATAATCATAGTTGAAATTTGCTTTAAATTTATGAAGTTCTAATTACATAGTAAAGCAAATGTAGTTTTGTTGTGATCTATTGCCTATCAGAGTCAGACCTTTGTGAATCCCATGTCTAAAATATGCAATCCACAGTTCCTCAGGTCCATAATCAGAAAGTGAGAAATACTTGCCTCAGAGAAGTCTACCTAGAGAATTCTTGGCAACAGGAAAGCCATATGTATCTTATTTACTGATGTTGGCACAATCGTGCTACAATATATCATCTCAGGACACCACAATTTAGGACAAATTTTGTCTCCCAAACTATGCATTTCTTAGGCACTTCTCAGTAATCTTTTTCCAGATGTTCAAAATTACCATCATAACCTAAAACTTGAATTTGAAATTAATTGCAAAACAATTTTTTAATTTAAAAAATTGTGATTACTACCACTCTCTCATATTCAGAATATGTATGTGTATCAGTTCTTTAATCCCTGTCTAATGTTGTATTAACTGTTTTGAGGTACCAGTTACAATGTTACTACATGAAGGTAATATAATGCTTTCTCTGATACATCATATCCTTGTTGCCTACTGGCCAGTTTATGAGTCAACAAACAGAAATCTGATTCATAAAATTTAATGCATCTGTTGTGTTAATAATTTTATGGAACTGATTTAGTGACAGCTGTGAAGCAATTATTTCTCAGTCAAATGTAGTTTCATTAGTTGATATACTTTATCCACTATACATGAATGGCTTCTTCCCTGCTACGCACCAGTGGCGTGCACAAGCCAAAAAGAAGCAGAATGATCTGAAAAAGTGAGTACTTCCCATGGCAACCATAGCATCCAGTCCACACTCCATACCACATTCTTATTTGTTATCCTGTGTGAATGTACTAGTGTCTCGACACCTGTCTGTCCCGTGTCTCCTGTAAAGCCCCTTATGACATAGTGCTTCCTACTGCTGAATATATCAACTCATCCTCACTAGTATGTTAATGCCAGATGCTCATGTCAGATTCCAGATATGTCTGAAGCTAATTGCTGCTGTCTCAATAATGTCCTTGAAACAATTATAATTGGTAAAATACAGAGTAAGTCACTGACACACTGAGTCCTCACCCATTCAGTAATGATTCATCAATAGATCTTAAGTATAGAGTAGTCCTGTATTCCAGCATGTTTTAAATTATGTGATTATTATGGTAGGCCCTACAGCTTTTAGAGTGGTTTAGCAAAACACCCTCCACTGAAGCCATCATAGTAGATGGAGCAAACTGAACAAAGAAGAAAATGTGGGGCGATTACCTGTGCCCAAAAATTGCTGGAGTCCTGAAGGTTGTTCTTTTTAATTTAATTATTAATTCTGTGTTAATAAAAAGCTCACATTCATGCTGCCCTAGATTGAGACAAAAAATCAAACAGTACCTAGAACAAGTATGCATTGGTGAAAGTCCCAAGAGGAAAAAATACATTCTAGTCACTGAGACCCTTTAGGAAAAGGCTTCTCTAGACCTACGGAGTGCCACGCGCAGCTGTGGGTGACTTCTGGCTGCTGAGCAGTTTGAACCTCTTGGATCTGAGATGTGCTAAAAGTATAAAACAAACACCAGATTTTGAAAACCTAATTTTAAAAAACTGAAAATTGTCACATTAATAATTTTCATACTAAACACATGTTGAAATGAAAGATATCACAAAGCTGATATCACTGGCTTATTTTCCTTTTTTTTTTTTTTTTTTTTCTTAAAAATGGCTACTGGATCCTTTTAAATTTCAAGGTTCTCCTTATACTCCTATTCAACAACACTGCTCTAAACTCTAATAAAATAATACTAATTTGAGAACAGGAGGGAAAACTACATGCCAGAAGATTACACATAAAAAATATATCTGTGAGAATGAGATGACTTCAGAGAGACATTTTCTCTGGTAAGGAACCTTGAGAAATTTTCATTTTGATCACATTCCCTGGATACTTTTGTTTTTAGCAAGATGCATCCCACTCATTTTTCCTATAGAACACAGTGTCTTAGAACTGTGTTGCAGGCCCAGCTGATTAAGGAACATTATTTTTTCTTTACGCTCAGTCTTTATTTCTCTATCTGTTCCCACCCTTTATACTTCAACATTGATTTAACTGTTTTGACTGTTGAAGATAAAAAGAGTAATGTCCTTGACTGGAAGAACATTTTCAAAGTTACCAAACATGTTAAAGTTTTAAAGTTTTTATTGCTAACATTAAACAATTGCCTTAGTAACATTCTCCTGCCTACTTTGCTATTAGTAGTGACTACAAACAAATAGTTCTATTATTAATCATGTAGTTAACCAATAACACTTACCTTAATCCAATCATATCATATAGAAAAGGAATTTTTAATGCCCAAATACATACCTATAAAAATCATATTTTCACTTTATTCATACAGAAACAAAATAATCTTAAATATTTTTCTGTCTTTTAAATAAGGTAAAAAGATACCACATTTTATTTCAAGTTATTTAAATCAATATTACGGGTATGAAATGTTTGTCAGCTGTTTTAAACTTATCTTCAAATTATTCTTGAAACACTAAAATGCTTAAACATAAAAATACGGTATTTTACTTTAATACAACAGTTTAAGGTCATTAATCTGAATCATAAACTTATGAAATAATGGGTTATTATCCATTAGATTATAATCAAAATGTATTTTGCTTTCTTGTCAATTTCTAATGATATGGTATTATAAACTTTTCTCTACATATTTTTGAATGAATCAATATATTTCTTTAAAGATAAGTAAATCACAAAATGAAAAATATAGATATACACTAGAGTTTGAGTAACGGACAATATTTTAAAGTAAAATCTTAGTTAAAACTTAAATAGACCGCTGTGTCATAAATCGAATAATTTAATTTTTAAACATTGAAACTAGAACAGTTCAATTAAGGCAATGTATTTTGAGATTAAAGTTGTACCAAAATTATCCATTAGAGCTAGATGATATTTTCTACATTTCTTCAGTGATTACTGTTAGTAACATCAAGAACAGTTTGTTTCTGTGTCCAGGGCTTTCTCTCAAACTTTCCAGGTCTGAATCTCTGATTTATAATCAGTGAGTGGATTACATCTCACAGTGCTGTTTGTCTCCCATTCACTTGAGCCCATATCTTTCTTCCCAGCTCTGGATGGAGTGAGCCAAGGGCAGCCATTTACTTCTACTTTTTTCCAATTACGCATCTGTACTTGGCATTCTTGGCTTCTTGACATAAGGCCTAGTGGAAGCCTCCCAGTATATTCTTTTGGGTACCGCTAGGTTTTTAAACTTTTAAAAGCTGTGACGCTGGGGAGAAACGGACTTAGATGTGTAGTTTAAAACCTTCAAAGAAACTATTGAACATTTCTGAGGACCACGTACCTCTTTGTGACTCTTTCAAACCCATTGAAGTAAAATTGAGGATGCAAAATTTACCATTCAGTTAGACTGCATAAAATCAGAACAGCATTTATTAAATTGCTGTGGGATTTAAAAAATGAATGTGGTTTCTACCCTTAGGAAGTTAGAGCCCAATGAGAAGGGAAACAGATAAAACTGAAAATTATGGTACTGAGCAGAGTACAGGAATTTAGAAATACTCTAAAAAAGGCACTCACTGCCTGGCGCTAAAGAAGGTTCCCAGCAAAGTCCCAGTTAAGTGGGGTCTTGAGGAGGAATAAAAACCTGCCCACATTAGATGGGTTTCTGTGTGTGTGCATGTACACACACATTTGTGACTTGAGGGGTGAACTCAGGGCTTTGTGGACTCTGAGAACACTACCAGTGAATTATATGCCCAGCCATAGGGGTTATCTTTGAACTGATTCAAATATTGAGAAGAGGCCAGAGCACGATAATAAAGGAAATTTAAAATCTTAAAATATTTTTAAAAACTGAGAAAAACTTTAGCAAATAGTGAGGTAGATTTTCTTGACTCAGCTATGATACACTAAGTCCCCAACTTATGAATGATTTCTTTCTGGAAGAACATTCATAAATTGGATTTGTTTGTAAGTCCAGAAAAGTGAATCTTCTATACCTTTGCCACAAATATACCGTGCATATTGCTTTGTGCTTCCTACCATCCCCTCCACAACACCACTTCTCCTCCTGCTCCCCAACAAACGGACTCTTACTGAGCTCTGTACTGCTGCACACCATCACACTGTACAGTGTAGCACACAGCAGCACAGCTGTGGCAGTGTCCGGCAGACACGCGAGCTACTTCTGGGATTTGTTCACAACTACAAATATTCCTAATGTGAAGTCTGTTTGTATCTGTGAAAGTTCACAATTCAAATGTCCTTAAACCAGGGATTGATTACAATCCGGTTAAACCAAAGTTGTACTCACTCCAGCTCAGTCATTCAGAAAGAATTAGACACCTTCAACTTATTTTTTATAATTTTTAAAACATCAATATAATTTGTCCCAAAAGAGTGAAATCAGGGAAGTTCATGAAGTATTTTCCCACTAAGTCTACAAATCTTATCCTACCGATGAGTAAAGAAAGAATAAATAGCATACAGTTTGGAAGTGAAATGTAGAAAGACTGCTTGGGGCATCTAGTTTGGTTTGGAAATTTCCATGACCTTAAAAAGACTGTTTGTTCCCAAATCACCAAAGGAAAAAACCATAATCCTATTTGAAAATCAGAAAAGGGAGGCGCATGGGAGAAGCTATGCATATCGCAGAAATAAAAATAAAGTAAGTGGTAATTCCTATGGCCAAATAATCAATCCTAAATCCATGCAACTGAAGACACAGTTTAAATGGATTCTTTGAGATAGATATTTTTATGTCTTCAGGTTCTGCCAAGTCACTGTCTCATTTGGCAGCCACTTAGTAAACTCCTTTGAAGTTGTGATGGATATAAATATGAGTGTGATACAGTTAGTCTCTGACCTCAGACTTTGTAAGAAAAACTTCATCTTTGTAAGAATTCTTATTTCATCTTTCATAGCTTGATTAAAGCCAAAACTCTTCCTGTTTGGTTCTAATCACATTTCCATGTTCCTGGTCATCTGACCTCTCATTCTCTTCACCTGGAGCCCAGCTGTTCTCCACCCAGACCATTTCTCCACAACTTACCTGGGCTCCCACTAGGAAAACATTGAGTCATACAATGGCTTGTTGTACACTCACCGATTTGCATTTGTGAGAGAAAGCCACAGGAGCGCCTTCACGACAAGAAGTGGTCCAGCAAATGCTTCCATCACTCCAGATGAGCACTGTGACCAGAAACAAGACCATTGGTAGGTGTGGAAGAGACACAGACCTCAAGAGGCAGAGGTCTCGAAGACTGAAGAAGCTATGTCTTTGTTCCCTGGGTTTCCTGGGGTCTCTCCAAACAAGTTCCCTGTTGGAGACTTTTCTTTCTGTGCTGCATGTTAGAGGTGCTTTCTGCAGAAAATGTATCAAAAATTGAATGAAAGATTTTTAAAAATTTCTTTGATGAAGTAGATTTACCTAAAAAGATGACTTTCTCATTGAACTGTGCCTTCTCTGTTTTTCCATTTAGATGCTTTTGTAAATGAAGTTCTTACTTTCCAGCATTCTTTGAAATTCACAATTTTTCAGCATTGAGAACTAAAAGTACAGAAATCAATCACCCTCACATTGTAAACCTATAGATAATTTAGGCTTATTCAGCCGGGGATTTAGCTCAGCGGCATAAGCGCCTGCCTGGCAAGCACAAGGTCATGAGTTCAATCCCCGTTACCAAAAAAAAAGAAAAAAAATTGAGGCTTATTCTGCATCATATATATTCACAAAACTATAGGAATAAACTCTTAGTCCTTCTTTAAAGAAAGAGTACAAGAAATTTTCATGAAATATAATTTGTATCTCCATAAAATTATTTCATCCCTAGTCTAAAATCAGAAATGCTCCAAAATGTGAAATGTTTTAAATAGCAACATGATACCATGAGTGGAAAAGTTTACACTTGACTACATGTGATGAGATGCAACCAAATCAGAGGCAAAAAAAAAACTGCATAAAATTTCCATCAGACTATGTATATAAATTGTTTATGAGGTTTTAGATTTGGATCCTATGCCTAAGATATCTAATTTTGTATTTAAATCCAAAAACAGCCAAAATCAGAAATTCCTGTGATCTCAAGCATTGTGCAAAAGATATAATCTATAATTGTAAAACCATGTGTTAGGAGATTCAGTTATTCATAGTTATCTGTCAGTGAAATTAGACTTTTTCTCAGATAAATGACAGTTACCAAAGACAAGCATGTGGCATCTTACATGCATACTCATGTTGGAAGTTTCAGTTGTGTTGATTGAGTCTGACCTTTCTCCCTTGGACACTTTAGCCAATGAGTCAATAAGACCCAGAACTGGAGGACAATAAACAGATTTACACAAATGCAAACCCACCAAAATAACTTCTATGAGTTTAACATAGTACCACATTTAATAGTGACTTTTAAACTCCATGAATACTTATAATAGCAGAATTCAGCTTTTATTTGGTTTTGTAAAGTCAGGACAACATCACTATCGTGACATCACTTAGAAGGAATCGTTATGTTAAATACATATGATTAAAAGAGCATCTCATGGGGCTGGGGATTTAGCTCAGCGGCATAAGTGCCTGCCTTGCAAGCAGGCAGTCGTGAGTTCGATCCCTGGTATCGATAAAAAGGAAAAAGACAAAAAAAAAGAAGAAGAAGAAGAACATCTCATAGCAGAAGTTACACATTAATGAATGGTTCCTTTCTTGCAAACTCACAATTTTTTATCTGAACCACCTATGCATACGATATAGATTCTGAAGTACTAATCACATTTTCAGAAGCAATCAGAATCATAAAGCTTAGCCATTCTTTTCAGTTTCTAGTACATTATATTCTATACCAGTGCTTTCAAACACATTTCCAGGTAACAAAAATGACTTTATGCCAAAAAAAAATTATACATTACACCTAAATGCAAATAGACCATGACATTTATAAAAATTCAAATATATTCTATCCTACAAATATGGGAGCCTTACAGTCCTTCTGCATTTAAAAATGTTTCAATACAAATAGTATGAATAATACCCAGGAATGTTCAAATTCAGAAAACCAAATATGAAGGAACTCATTGTTTCACCAGACTAAAGGAGCATCAAAACAAACAAACAAGCAAATATTGACTGCTCCTAGGGAAATTTGTAAGACTTTATACATGTTAAGCACTTAAACTTAACAATTACACCTATCACTGTAACCTGAATGGTGAAAGAACATTCCCAGTGTTTTATCTCTCAGTGACATCCACAAATTATAAAGTATGAAAATCAAATTATCAACTATATATCAAAATCATATGCATTGATGGAGATCTGTCTTCTCATATTTAAATGATAGCACGAATATGTCAATATACCAAACGTTTATCTTAGTTTCGGTCTCTGAATGACCATTATACACTCCCATGTTTTTCTTTGAGAAAAATGAAATTATACTTTCTCCTTTTCTTACCATTGTTTATATCCCTCTTAGCTTCCATTGTTATTGCATTGCCCCATGCCAAAGAAACAATGAAGTAATAGTAGAGTTATATAAAATATTTCAATATGGTAATATTCCAGAGTATTTGGTTTCTTGTATTATATCTCTTAAAATACAATTTTTAAAATAAGTTATTTTTCTTATGACAAGTAGAAAATTAAGTGGCCATGCCTGAAAAACTATGCCACTTAATTTAGGGATTAACCACCTGTGTATCATAAGTATATCTTCTTGTTTAACTGTAGAAAGTCTAGATTCAAAAAGGTACAGAATAACAGAAAGTAAATAGATGGTCACCACTGATAACTAGAGACCCACTGAAAAGCTGTCAAATTATAGAGCAATGGGAAAATATGATTGAATTGACAGGAATGTATTTTAGTATAGATCTTTCAAACATCTACTAAACACCTGTACAATTAATATAACAATATTTTCTACTCTCCTCAAATAACCTTTGTTAGGTACTGCAAAAGCATACCAAGAAAATGCAGAGGGTGTGTGTTAGTTGAATTGAGCTTTTTAAGAGAGAGAAAAGGAGTGTTGATGTATAGCTATTCATCCATGTGTTTGCGTTCATCACCACATAGACACCGCCAGCCAGCCTTCACCAGAGCCTGTTATCTTGGAGTCTGAAGCCACAGTTCCAGATCTCAGTAAATGAGTTTTCTATCTAAGCTAGGAAAGGGACCAGCCAGTGAATCAACAGATGTCATTTCTGCATATTGAAACTGGAAGATAATTCTAAAACTACTCCAGGAGAAACCAAAAAAAAAAAAAAAAGTGGCTTGAGCTTTAAAATTCAAAGTTGGCTGCATCAAAAATATGTTGAGTGCTAAAAGGCTCGTCCCCCACTCCTTGGTAGTTCTTTCTTTCTTTCTTTCTTGCCCCCGCCCCATTATTTATTTACATATGTATTTATTTTTGGTAGGCTTGCTGTTCCCATTTTGTTGCAAGGCTGCATTTTAGCCCACCTGATTCTGCAGTTTGACAAAGCCCTTTAACACCTATGTTCGTTTTTTCTCAGCTGGTGAATGAGCAACAAGAAAGCAGGCCCCTCCTGAGTCCCTCCATCGATGACTTTCTCTGTGAAACCAAATCGGAGGCAATTGCAAGGCCAGTAACGTCCAATACAGCTGGTAATTGTTTCGCTTTTAACTGTGCCTCAAGTAGAGTTCATCTGAATTATGGCTCAATGCACATTTTTTTCACCTGGGCATTTTAGGTCGGGAATGATATTTGCAGCCAGATGGAACTTTAGAACATGCGCCATTCTACATAAACTAATAAACTGCTTTTCATACATGAAAAACTACAGTGTATGCCACCAACCAATTTTGCTGATCATAACTATACCACTGTTAGCAATTATTTTTTTCTATGAATATTTTTACATTTACATCTTTGCATTTCTCGTTGCATCAGATTGAAATGAAAGCCTTTACTTCAGGGTAAGCTTTCTCAAGTTCTGGTTAATAGCCAATTATTTCTGAAAATATTACATGTAACAAAAGTCTAGTAAAATAAAAATCTGAGTCTTTCCACGTAGATTTGAAGAATAATTAAATTCTCCCATCGCCACAGGACAGTATAAAGCCAACTTTGCTTTCTGTCCTATAAATATGTTACTTGCTCCCTCTTAGAAACTGCATGAACATTCCAATTTGTTTGAATGTTCTTCTGGAATTAAACACACTGGAGCAGGAAATCACCATCCGCTCAGTACCCAGCGTGTATAAGAACAGGCACTGAGCATATGTGAATCCAGCGAGCTTCTGTGTGTGCCCCTGGCATGGGGTCCTTTTCTGTAGCAGAGGCAGCCATTCTGTGTAGACTTCATTTGCTCCACACTTACACTGAAAGGCACGTTGTTCAGCTAAGAATGCAGAAGTGGTGTTTAAAATCAAAGATCACACTGAGTGTATAGTGCAGAATTTAATGGGGAAAAGAAGATAATCACATGCTATGTTAAATTTGCTCCGTTTTGCCATTGGAGCCTCAGTTGGCTGTTGGCATGTATATTTTCTTTGTATAGCCAAGTGAAGAAAATCACAGGAGAAGAAAATTGTCATTTTCCAAAAATGCTGAAAATTACAGCAACAAGAACTTGTATGTGCCTCGTGTGAGAGTACAAGTTATAGTTTCTGGGGTCAAACTCTGTAGGCTATAACCCTAAATTGCTAAATTTTCTCATGTATCTAGTAGTAAATAAACTGCACATTTCCTCATCACTAGTCAAAGACTAGTAAGATCAGTATCTAAAAAGTTACTTGGAAAGGTTAAATAAAGCAATCTAAGAATGTGCTTATCGGCAGGTGCCCGTTGTGAAATCTAACTAATATAAAACAACTATTTCTGTTAGACGTGGGTAGAAGCTGCATTCTAGACACTATCCTTTGCAGTTTCATCAGTTGTCTAATATCACATCAAAGCAATCATGATTCTAAATTCAACTCTTACTTTGAATAATCAAGAAACTAAAATGGTACTTGGCCCATCTAGGCAGGAAATTAAATGTTTGTATACTAACAAAATTTTTCTTCCTAATGTATGAAACAGGCCTAGCCCTCCAAAACTAGAGAACTACCCCCAGAAAACAGAGAATGCTGTATCTCTAACTTTAGGCAAATCCAGGAGAATTCAGTGAACTAAGTTGCTCCTCACTTGCTAATTCTCACTGAGAAAACTAAATCACCTAAAAAGACCCCATGGTGTCAGAGCAATGTCAGATTTGACTCGAAAGCTCCTTTTCATCTCAAATTTCTAACATAGAAAAGACCTACAAAATATTGGAAGAAAAAATCAAAAGAAGGTGTAGTTTCTTACAATCCCAGTACTTATAATGCAGCTTTCTTTAGGAGCTTCCTAGAGCTTCTGTGACAGGCTACCACTAGCAGAGTGGATTAGCAACAGAAATTTACTTTCACATTGTTCCAGAGGCTGGAAACCCAGCAGAGCTAGACTCCCTCTAAAGGCTCTGAGGGAGAACCTGGACCAGGTATCTCTCCTCATTTCTTTATGGTAGTCCTTTGGCTAATGGCAGCATAACTCCAGTCTTTCCATGGTGCTTTTTGGAGGTTTCTTCCTCTCTGCATGTGTCTCCTTCCCTGAGAACACCAGTCATTTTGGATTACCATTCTACACTTGTTCAGTGTAACAATATTATCTCCAAATGAAATCACATGCTGAGGTATTAGGTCTTCAGCAAAAGAATGAAGGGAGACACACAATTCAATCCATAACATTTTACAAAGGGGGAGACTGGAAAAATGGTGTCCTGAGTCTACAGACTTCCTCTGCAGGCTGAGTATTCAGTGTACCTGGTTCATGCAGGTTTTTATCCTGAAAAAAGATTCATGATCAATATCATGTTTCTTAATCTTAAAAGTATATGGCAAAGAAAAAGCATCCTATTTTGAAATCCCCAACGAATATAGTTCTTATATAAAGCAACAGAAAGTAAGCGATAGAAATATTTTTCCCTGTCATGACTCAAATAATGAGAATATATCTTTTGCCTCATAGAAGTTTTGATTATAATTTTAAGTGCTTTATAGTTTTTACCTTCTGTTTGTTCCATTGGGATTAACTTTTTGTCATACAGTGATGATAATTTCAAGCTAATCCATTGAGAATGTTTGTCTTTTCTTTTCTCCATTGATACCCTAAATTTTCTTTAATTCATCTAATCCATAGAGACAGCTAATTCGTTGGTCCTTTCAAACTGTATCCCTCTGTGGTAGGCTCTAATAACTGTTAATTTTTTCATTGTGCCAAATAAGTAAATATGATGTACACAGTCATACAGAAAATGCTCTAAAAGTGTACAATAGATATTCAGATACTAAAGAGTAACTATAGTCCAAGAAATTACAAAGTTTTTCACAAGACTCATTACACCATGTAATCTCCTAATAAATCTAGTGTATGTTACTACACAGGACAGATTCTGCTAAAGATTGAAAAGAAAAGAAGATGTTTGTGTTTATTAAACTATATAATTTTAAAACATTTTATCCATAGACTTGAGCCTTGGGTAAATGGTTACCTTAATGGAAACATTTTTCATAGTTTAAAAAATGTAATTTCACTCTTTCATTTGGCTCCTAAATGGCTCCCCTATTTATAAGGCAAGAACTACCCTCAATGAAGTTCCCAACCCTGCCAGTTACCTAATAGAGTATCTTAACTGTAAAATTAGTGTAACATTTATAAAATGCATCTTTATGAAACTCAAATGACTGTGTACCCAATGGCATGCCTCCAAAGAGGCTTAGCAATATGAGAAGTAGCTTTACTTTAAATTCCAATAAAAAAGGATTGATTGGATTAAATGCATTTATCGATTTGACCTGTTTATTTCAAAGTTCCTGAGATCAGTATTTAAATCATGCCTCATTGTGCTGTGTACAGTTTAATAGCATTATGCAAACCACCAAACTATCAAAACCAGCATTTTATGGTAGGTGCTTTATTTTGCTTTAAGAAGGTTCGCCCCCCAGGGGCCAAGGAAGCCAGCTAGTGCTTACATACAGTCTGCAGAGCTTTGTGGGAGCTGTGCACTTCAGTAGGCTATGATCTTCAGTCAGGTGTACCTGAGAGTTGGAAACAAATACTTTGGAAATGTATTATCTCCCATCTTTAATAACTTTCATCCAATGCAACTAGTTATCTAAAAAAGAAATTTTCTATATTACTAATCCGTTTCCGTCATCCTTCAGAATATGCAAACTGTCAAAGAATCAGAGCTTTTAAAAATATGCCTTATGAAGAGAGGCATCCCTCAAGTCTCCAATCCCAGTGAAGTCTAGACAGGTGTGATAAAAAACACACAGGGCCAGACCTGTGTTTGAGTCTTGGTGCAGCCTGACATAATAGCTATGTTAATTTTCTATAGCTGCCATAACAAGTTGTCACATATTCAGCATCCAAAAGCAACACAATTCTGTTATCTTAAAGTTCTAGAAATCAAGTCTTTATCAGAGTGTCATCAGGGCTACAATCCTGTAGAAGCTAGAAGAGAATTTGTCCTCCTGTTTTGACAGCTCCTAGAGGCCACCTGTAATTTGCTGGTTTATGGTTCCTCCCCCACCCCATCTTTAAAACCAGCTGCCTCGCAGTTTCATCCTTGAATCTCCTGATTCTTATCTTTCTGATTCCTTCTTGTGATGCTATGATGATCATATTTATTTGCATGCATAGCACAATCTAAGAGCTTTAAGTAAAGCACTCCTTTTATGTTTTTACACCATGAATTAGAGTTTTATTCTAATTTTATGTGAGCAGAAGCTGAGGGACTGCCCAAAACATAGAGCTAGTGTGTGGCAGGGCCAGCATTTGAAACAGGCAGTCTCGGCCACTGTCCTGTTCTGCCACATTTCACGCACAGTGACTACATAACACCAGCACACCAAACTGGGTTGGTTGAACCGAAGTGAAGAAGACAAAGTCCTACAAAGAGTGACTAGGAGAATAAAGACCTGTTCAGAAGCTACCACACTTAAGATCTCTGTTGCAACAGATGTTAATGAAAGAGATGACTTCCTTTGGGCAATGAGTGCCCTTTCCTGTGTGCTGTCAGCAATCACTGGTGTAGTCTAGGTAGAAAAGTCTGTGTATGTGAAAATAAGATTATACCCAGAAGATGTTTAATTATGTGTGCATGTACATGTACACATGCACATCTGCTGTAAGAGAAAGCTATCTTTTTTACTCTTACTTTAAGCACACAGATACTAGAACCCAAACTTTCATATATCTAAGAGAATTTTTTAAGTTGAGTTAAGAAAATCAGCCAGTCATACAGTCTCTTCTATGTCTACGAACACGCCTTGAAACATATGTGAAGCAGTAAGACCTTTATTTTTAAATCTTACCTAAAAGACACACAATCCTACTAAAATATGATCTCCTCCAGAGAAATGAAAGGCTGCCCCAGCCTTCCGTTTTCAGAATTGTGATCTTCATGTAGACTCTCAACTTTGAAGTTTGCCATTCAACCTCTAAAACACTTTCTTATCAACAGGGTAAACAAAAAGGCCTTTGCATTGCCAAGCATTGGTTTCACATTTGCAGGAAAAGGAACAAAGGGACAGAGACCTCAGAACAACTGCAAGAAATACCCAAGACACTGTGGAGAGAAAAAGAATCCTGCAGGGCCAAATTTGAATTTGCAATTCACCCTTTTGGTATTTCATTTCTTCTGAATGATGAGAAGCAGATAGAATTAAATTAGCACCCACCAGTTACTATTTTGTGACAAATCCCCTATATAAAAATGGATGAGTCCTATATAATTTGCTTCTGAATGAAGTCTAGGAGCAGGCAACTAATTCTTAATTAGTTATACAATTGATAAAAAAATTTATATATATATATATAATTCCAGAGACTGTCACTCTCTTCCTTACTTCTGTTATAAGGAAGTCATGTTGAGCCTACAATCCTTGCCAACCTAACTGTGGTCTACAAATTTTTATTTAACCATTCAACGGATATGAAGTTTGTGGCATCCTAGCCTTTCTTGGCTGCCTGCCATGCTTAAGTTTTAGACATAAAGCCAGGTAGCTTAGTTCTGAAAGCCACTTCTTCTCCTCTACACTCAAGTACTTTCTAGCCACAAAACACTCCTCGTACCTCAGAGAATCTTAGTATTGCAGAATGGCTCTTCTCTGCTCATGGAGACTCAGTGTGAGAAGCTGACACTTTTAGGCCATTTTATGATAAATATACTTCATAGAATTCTCTGTAGAACTAATGTCTTAGTCTCATCCTCTTTAGTTCCCAATAGAGCTTCCTGTTTCGGTGTGTGGATCTGATTTTTGCCTGAAATAGAAAGGAACAGGGAAAGTGAGAGTGCCCAAAAAAGGGAAGAAGATAAGAAATTGGCCTCCCAAGAATAGAAATAACTATTTTTTATATGTGTTTGTGGTTGGCCCCATACATGCTACGCAAATGCTTGACACTAGGCTATGCACCAATCCCAGAAATTATATTTTTTAGTATCATAAACCTGGCACTTGACATATATTGGACTCATGCAGTCCTCATCTCATATTTAAAAGACTATAATTCTTCATTTTCAGATGAGAAAATAAGCTCAGTCTGGTCAAAAAAAACCCTCAGGGCATACAACTAAAAGTGATAGAACCTGATCCTCCCACCTCACAGCAGTATCCACCACTGTCACCAAGAATTGAAATCAGAAAACAAAATGATTGAGTCAGCTGTTACAGGGATATCAACAAACTCATCTAGGATCGTGTTTTCTTACCTATTTTTTGGTCTGTCTCTGAGTATGAGATGCTGAGCACATTTCTGTTTATATTTAATAATGCTCTTTTGTTTGACTTGTGCTATTATAGAATATTTCTAAGCCGAGGAAATTAAGAATTACTGTATACATAGGCAAGTATATATGGCTCAAATCGTGAAGCTGTACACTCTGAGTATATGTAATTTTATTTGTCAATTATACTGAATTTTTTAAAAAGTACTCAAGCTTTGCTCACTGTCCTGAGGTTCCCCCCAGAGCTGAAGGCACTGTAACGCTAAAGAAATCCTAACCCTGGCTGAGCTCAGCAAAGCCCAGAGCCTCCCTTGAATGAAAAGCATTAAGACATTAATAAAATCCATTCCTTACCCAGAGAAAGCTGGAGTGGTAAAGAGCAAGAGTGTGCAGCATTGCCGTAGACTGGGCCCAGAAGTTGGCACAAGGATGGTGCTCCCCAACAGGGGCTTTCCCACGCTAGCTGGGGGAGGAGACCCCGGGCCAGGAAGCCACCAGCTCTGTGCTGCAGCCAGCCTTTCTGGTGCTATGACAAAAGACAGCAGTGCTGCGGAGGAGGGAGAGCTAGAGAGACCTTCCCTAACTTCAATTTCTTTTTCTCAGTGAGCCAGTCAAATACTAGTCACTGGCACTGCAAAAGAGAACACTGAAGGCTGCAAGGCTTGCCTTTTGAATTATTTGCCTAGTTTGCATTGGAACAAACTATTATTTCTGCCTTTGTTGGAGTGTTTAATACAATGTAATCAACTACTAGGAAGTAGAAGTGTAACAGTTTTATTATTGGTTACATTGAAATCTAAATTTGCATATTAAGCAGCAACGGCATTAACTTGTATACCTATTCATCAACTATGGATTATAAAACACCTCTCAAGTGTGGGCCCAAACAACATGCTATTTTCTGATTGAACTACTTAATTAAGTAAAAGATGATTAACAGCATGGCTTTATACCTCATAGATTTCACTGTTTAAAATTAAAGCCTGAAGACATCAGAAACTTCACTCTGAACGTTATAGATTGAGCATTCTCTGGAAAAAGTACAACTTAAAATAAAGTGTCCCTGTAAGTGAAGCAAAATAATGAATCGTACCTGAACTCAAATTCAACTTTATCATCTTAATGTCCTTCAAACTTTTATCAGTGCTGAAGCTGTTCTAAATTCTGTCTCACTGATTTGTACCATGTCAAAAACAACATGTAGCAAAGTTCCCAGTCTAGCAGTGTTTATAAATCAATAGTGAGCCAACTTAATTTGGTGTTTCAAACCTATTCCATCACCACAAGATCCCTCTGTACCCAATTGAAATCTATTTTTAAAAAATAACTAAAAAGCAATAAATGTGCTTATCTTAATCTCTTCCATTTCTGATAGTGTTGACCACTGGCTTAGATCTCCTTGACCTGAGTGAACCAGTGTCTCAAACCCAAACCAAAGCTAAGAAGTTGGAGACTTCATCAAAAACCTCATCCCTCAAGAAAAAGGCTGATGGATCTGACCTCATCAGTGCAGATGCTGAGCAGAGAGGCCAGCCTCTCAGAGTCCCAGAGACTTCATCCTTAGATCTAGGTAAGGCAGGAGGTTCATGGTGACTGCTGTCAACCTTGCCATGCTGGTTTTGATACAACAGAGAAGTTTTGCAAATGGCATTAAAACAGTAAAGAAACAAGGAGAAAAGATGGGCAGGGCACAGTTTATTTTGTGTTTGAATTGAATAACCAGGGGGAGCTCAACTCTGCATAACTAGTATCAATTCATACATCTATCTGTGTATTCATTCATATACACTGAGTTCTTGATAGACGCCAGGCATCATGGTAGGCGTGAATTTTGTTCTCTAGAGCTACTCAATTTAGAGCAAAAGAGAGACACAAAAGTAAGCAAGTCTAACACAAGGCCCAGGAACAACAAAGCAAAAGAGAAGCATCAAACAGATTTGAGGATATGTCCAAGGCAATAAGAATAACTACTATTTATTGAGGTTTATAATGTCCAGAGGCTGCATTGCCTAATTGACATGTTGTATCATTAAATCATTATGATTCTGAAATACTTGAGAAACCAGGTTCTAATAGTTAACTTGCCCACAATCTCACACTCAGTAAGAGGAAGAACTGGAATTTGAGCCTAGCTGTAGTTAACTTCAAAGCCCACACTTTTACTCCCCACCATACTCTGTATCTTCCAGAGATAGAGGAGCTTAATGCTCAGCTCACGAAACTATTCAAATCAGCCTTTATTTTCTCTGGCAAAAATAAACAGCGGGCATTTCAAAAAGCCGAGGGCAATACCTGTCTCTTTTGGCTAGTATGTTTATATATGTACGTGTGTAGATGATAAATATATTCAGAAACTGCAATACTCATAGCTGACTTATAATTCTACGAAGCATAAGCTACATATGGACAATTACTTATCAGTGTGTTATATATATTAGCTGACCATGAATTCGTTTATTCATTTGTCAGTATACATTTCCCTGGTTACCTACTCTGTTCTAGGCACATATCATATGCTAGCAATGTAAAAGTAAGTATTATAAGCTCTTCCCCTCTTAGTAAGTTTACAGTCCACTGGAGAAATAGAAAAATGATTAGATAATTATAATACTAACCACATATTTAGTAAGAGGAAGCTCAGATTAGTTACTACCTCAACATCTTCATAGTGCTTCTGATGAAACTAGGGAAATGAAGAAAGTGCCGTATACAACACATCTTGTGAACAGAGTCTTAAGAAATGACTAGGAGTTTGTCAGAAGGAAAAGGTAGATCAGAAGAGGTAGAGAAACAGGGCAGGGCATTTCTGCTACAGAAGTGAAAGAGATCTACAGACAAATAGGCAAATAAACACAGAAAAACACAGTTAAATACGAGCACTGCAGAAGTAGAATGGTGAGGGAAAGTCTGAGAGTCACTAATGGTAGTTTGATCGGTTGGTTCTGGTTTCTCCTCATCCCTTTCTAACTTTGAAATTCATCTCTTTGTGGAGAAAATCTTTCTGGAAACATGCCAGAAGTCTCCAAAAGCCACCGCCTTAGCTGGAATCCGATGGTACCCATGTGCACTTCCCAACTCCAGATCTTATAGGACAAGTTTAGAAGTTAGCTGTACACAAGTTCAGACCTGACTGCTTCAAATAGAAAAAATCCAATGTATCTTAATAGGTCTTGTTTTTATTTAGTTACTTTTTATGCCACATTGAAAAGGTAAAGATTGGCCTTGGGTCTTGTGAGCGTGGATTGAGTATAGTTCACGTGGATAAAACTTCTCAATCTTAATCCCTCTTCTTCTTCCCTCTGCACCTCATGCTCTCTCCTGGCCTACCGTGCCCCCTCCTTTTCTTCTTAGTAGACATTCAAACTCAGCTGGAAAAATGGGATGATGTTAAGTTTCATGGGGATCGAAACAGCAAGGGGCATCCAATGGCAGAGAGAAAATCCTGCTCATCCAGAACTGGATCAAAAGAGCTCTTATGGTAAGACGCGGTGATACCAGAAAATAGCCATTGTGTGTCACCAGCACGCATGTTTCTTTCATGTACTGATATAGCCAAGGGTCCACCTAATTCAGATATTTGATATCACACATTATAACTTCCTATATAACAATGTTAATTGGTATGGCTTTAAAATTATTTTACCAGCTTTAAACTATTTTGCCTGAGTTCTCAAAAATTAATTCAATCTTCAAGAATTTGAAAAGGTTTGTGATACAATATATGGTTTTTTTTTTTTTTTGTCTCTTTCATTTTTATTGGTACCAGGGGTTGAACTCATGACTGTACACTTGCAAGGCAGGCGCTTATGCCGCTGAGCTATAATATATGTTGATAATTTTCTGAATGTGTGATTGAGCTATTAGTCAAAATAGGTACATATGTATATAGATTATCTGAATATAGTCAATATATTTTATATGTGGATAGTTACAGGTTTCTTGTTATTCGGGTAACCTTCTGTGGTTTTCTCAGTTACCCAGGATCAAATAATGCAGCAATTAAGAACAATACATAGTACCCATGCAGAAATCTGGCCACTTGAGTTTCATTATGTTTTGAAGCTTTTTAAAGGCAGTCCTGTTTCAACTCGCACATCTCCACTTGATTACTTTAAATTCCGTAGGAAGATACTTGAGAGTGGTCATATGTTAGAGATTTATAAAACTGAACTTTTTTCATCATAATTCTAATGAGAGCTTTGTTATCATGGCTCTCAATGACCCAAATTAACTAGCTTCCTGGCAGGATTTATTTTTGATGTACGTTCATTTTTTTAATACACCTCTTACAGGTCCTCAGAACACAGATCTCAACCAGAGCTGAGTGGTGGGAAGAGCGCCCTCAACTCCGAGTCCACTTCAGAACTAGAATTAGTGGCTCCAGCACAGGTAACAAAACCAATTCTTCAGTGAAGCTATCGGTTCTAGTAGATAACTTGTATCGTATGTATTTTTAATTTTTTCACAAAAAGTTTGAAGTATTTTCCTGTACTTTGTATTCATGTACTTTTGCATTCAGTAGCTCTTTCAATGCTTAGAATATCTGAATATGTATATATATATACATATATATATGTATATATATATATATATATATTTGGCTGAAAAATGTGTTAATGAATTCACTGTGTACTTTGCACTGTTTCCTTGTTCTTCCATTGACTATGCCATTATTTTGAAATACAAAATCTGTTCTACTCCAGTATAAGCACTATTTATGTAACAGAACACAACAAAGAGGAAATTGCATCTTAAGTGTTTATTCACATCTATGCCCTATAGAATAAGGTACTCTACATTAGTATCCTGACTGTCACACTAAAATGAGTTTCATGCCAAATAATATATTATCCTAGTTTTAGCAGTAATGATGATAAAAGTAAGCATTATGGATTTACTCTCTGCTTTGCATGTACTATATATAATATTCAAATAGTCCTGGGACTTATTATTAGCTGCTCTATAAAAATATTTTCAAGGTACTCTTGAGTCTCGGTGAAGTTTAGTATGTTTTCCTGGGGCATAATCATTGACAGAAGTAAATAATAAATCAGACTTATCGGTCTACTGCTTGGCCCCACTTTGGCATAGCTAACTAGCTTTGTGACTAGCTATACTGATAACTAGCTATACTTATGGTGATTCCAATAATTCCATGAAGGCCAAAATCAGACTCAATTTTCTCATCCTTTTGAACATTTTTCAAGGCCGTAGACTTGGTCCAAGATACACAGATCTTTTAAGAAGTGTATAACCATGTTCAAAATTCTGCAGTCTTACTTGAGGTGAGACTCAGTGTTAAAAGAAAACAAAGGGGGTGAAATGAGCAGAAATACTTTCTTGAATTTACTAGATAAGATGTTGAGGATAAGAGGAAAAACACAACGTCTGAGGTGGCAGAGGGATCATTATGATAACAGCAAATATTCTTGGGTACTATGATTAGAGCTTCCAAAATATATTAGCTCATTTGATCTTGACAAGGCTGAATGAACCAAGGGCAATGATTACCCTCACTGTGCAGATGGAACTAGGGCACAGTGAAGTAAATCTTACCTGTGGGCCCACACCTTGAAAGTGTCAAAGAGGAGGATTAAGGAAAAAGCCTCTGAAAAGCTTTCTAAGCCACAAGGAGCAACCCCCACAAACACCTCACTCTGTGTGAGAGAGGACATTACTATTCCCAGAACTCAGCTGGAAAACAAGTCAACTAAGGTCCTGAACAAATAAATCTCTCTGCAAACCTTAATGAACTGCAAATGTAGCGTGAAAGTGTACTTTCTTTCTTTGTGCTCCTTCTAAATGTATCTCTGTAAAAGAAAAATTATAGCACTTATTAGAAAAGCATTTCTGGATAAGCAAGTGCATTAGAGATTTAGACTTAGCTAAGATAATTGGTACTGTTTCGTAAACTGGAATCCTTAGAACAATTTAATATAGCAATAAAAACATGTTTCAAAAGTAGGATGAGACTTGGCACAGGTGGGCTGTTCTGCACCAAGCTGGGGTAGAAGACAGCTGGGGTCCCTGGTTACCATGGAAACCTACAATGCATTTATCTTACTATCTGAATGACTACTACTCTCCTGCTGGTAGTCTGATTCCATCCCACCACACTTTCCCACCAGTGTCCCTTAACTTTAAGCAAACATCGTGTTCTTTGGGAAAACAGTATGAGGCTCCTTATATTGTTTTCCAAAATACTATTTAAAATATACCAGGAGAGTGTTTTGTCTAGGTAAATCTCAGAGAATTCTTTTAGAGGGTTAATTATGTGTGAAGAATTTACCTCTTAATTTTTCTTCTGTTCTGTAAATATGATTAGGTGTTTCCATTGGTTTCTGGGTTTTTCTATTTTTATTTTTTATTAGTCCATGTCTGCCATATAAAACCATCACAGTCTTCGTGGGGAGCTGGTGCATGCACGTAGCACATCTCAATTTCTTTCTTTTCCCCTTCTCCCCTCACCCTTCCCACTCCCTCCATCTCTTGGTCCCCTCCCCATTTCCAAAAGATCTTTCTCCCTACTTGCTATTTTTCTTAAATGTTACATATTTACTTATCAACTTAATTAAGGAAATACACAGTCTTCTAGTTTTAATTCCAGCCACTGGTTAAATAAAAAATTCATTAATTTAAGACAAGACTACACCTGAAACACTAAGTCATTCAAGTGGGACAGCAAGAGAATAGGCAAGTTATTCTTGTAATAAAAGACAAAGAGATATTTCACTGTGAGAAGTTACTACTTTAATATATTATCTCTTTATGTAGATGAGGGTGGTATAAAATTAAACTTATAACTGACTTGAAAACCATTTAAATAAACTATTTTAGTTCTTCAAAATTTGTTACTGCTCCATGCAAAGGAAAATCAAGGAAATATTTTCTTCTCTTTCAAGACAACATAAAATTATCCTAGGCACACTACAAACATTGGATAAAAATCATATTTCAAAATCATAAAGACAATGAAGCTCACAATATCAAGAATTCTTTTGTTTTCTCATTTTCTTTTCAAGATAGAGAAAAGGAAGAAGAAGGCGTTATCTTTTTCAAATAGTTCTTTGAATACATTAATCAGATTGATGGAGTTTACAATAAATTACATAATGTCTATGTTTAAGAATGAAGTTTCTTGACACTTATGCAAATTGGCTAACTACCTTTCCTTAGTACTAATTATTTTAAGAAACCATGCAATTAGAAAAATTAGGAAACATTTCTAGAACTGAAGAAAACATTTAAAGTAATGATGTAAAGCTAGTGTTCTATATAAAATATAAGTAGGTTCACATAGTGATTGGTGAGGCAAAAGAAAAAGAATTCAGCACCTTCTGGAGAATGTTGGCTCAAGCATTTCTTCTCCAATTTGGACATGGAATAGGGAGCTTCAAAACAGGCTTTTGCAAACCTTAGATTACATAACCATAGGTTCTCCGGGTGTGTATCACAATCATGTAACTCACTGATTGTGCCAACTGGTACACAGAATGCTTCCTTTCACATAGTCATCATTCCAAACCAGAGCAATTTTAATTTTAATTTTTTTAGTTCCCTTTTCCTTTATTTTTGTTGTTTTCAAAATATGTCTAATATGTACATGATTACTTGTGCATTGTCAACACTTTCAAATCATTTAGGCAAGTGACTACCATCTTCCTTGCGTCTGCTTTGCCTCCTAGCCCATCCCCTCTCCTATCCCTTCCAAGTAGCTAATACCTAAGTCTTGTCAGGACAATTCAAACTTTAAGTGCAGATATTTTCTTTCACATGAGTAACATAAAACATAAAATGTATATTAATTGTTAGCATTTATAACATACCTCATGTGCCTGATATGATATTATATTTTTATTTGAAATGCTTACAATAGCATTGAGCATCAATATTATCTCTATTTCACAGGTTTAAAATGTGTTTAAGTACTCTCTTTAGCAGCACATATACTAAAATGTGTCTTAAAGAGAACTGAGCTAAATCAAAACTGTCCCTTTTGTATTGCAAACTCTGATTATTATTTCCTTTACAGGGATAATATGAGTTACGTAATTTTAAAGACTATTTATCTTGTCCCAGAAATTTCATGTGACAAGTTAGGATAATCATCTGATTTGATACCATACACAATTTTGGGCCTCCCCAGAAAATTCATTCTCAGCCTCTCACTTTCAGAAATGTTGGTGGCCTCCGTCTATTCCCACTGCAGTTTAACAAGTGCAGTCACATGTTTACTACCCATCATGCTGCCAGTGAGGCAGTGGAAACATTAGAAATGTGAAGCAAGTTGTAAAAAGTACTGATCTTTATGTCAAATAGGAACAATGAAATGCATTATAAATGTTAATAGTTGGAAATAATCCAGGAATCACATCAACATCCCTTTTCTGCACTGGTCACAAAGTGAGTTATCAGTGAGGAAAGAATAAAGTGAGGGTGGAAAGAACAGACAGATGAAGAGACAAGAAAAGAAATAGGAAAGATCACTTTGGCATAAAGGTAAATCAGGAGATACTGGGTTCTCCCCAGATACTTGGTAAAGCGGAAAATTGAGAGATTAGATACTTAGAGAAGAGCAGAACAATAACAGCAAGTTGAACAGTGAAAGTAGATACTGATGATTTAAGGGCAGAAAAAGAAAATCAATAGAGAAAGCTTTATTGCTGATCATGTTTGACGCTAGCTTCAGTAACGGTTTGCAAGCATACCTGGTAATAGATTGTCTATTTCTTCTACAAATATTTATTTGCCTTAATGTTCTGCAGAGAATTTCATAATTAGATGGCGATGGGAATCATGTATTGCCATATCCTATACAAAGGAATTTGCCCCTTGCCACGTGAAAGGCAGCTGTTTTGTATACATTCCATTTAAATAAATGTCTATTGACTGAGTAGAAAAAATCTTGAGCAACTCAATGAGGTTAGCATGCAGATTACCTGTTTAGTATGAGAATCCAACTAGTCTCCATTGACTACTAAACAAAGGTGCTCTCACCACAAATTTTTTCACTGATAGTCGTACCTCATATGCACTAGCCAGAAAGATAGCAAAAGCCGAATTTATTGAGCTTTTATTATGCATTTGAACTTACATGAATATTTGTACTCAATTTTTGTAGGGACTCTAAGTGAATATATATGCAGATGAAAATACATTAGTTAGCTTTGTCCTGGCTGAAACACAACGCCCAATGCCCACTCTGTAAAGGAGGAGAGATTTAATTTGCTTGCCTGTCATTTCCCAAGTGACTGGTTCCAAGGGCAGAGATGTCATGACAGGAGGGCGTGGAAGAGCAAAACTGCTTAGTTCATAGTGGCTAAAAAACAGAGTGAGGGAAGATATCAGAGTCCAAAAGACCAGCGATTAGACAGACATGAACCCAGGGC